ATTTTAGCCATCATGGGGGCGTCTCAACACCCGTGCCCCGAGTATTGAGCCTATTCAAAGTTAAGTCAATAAACTCAAACTCAAATAACCAAATCAAGAACCAAACATTTGATAACAAGTCTAATAAAACCATTGAGGTTCCAATTTATATAAAATCAATCATGAGTCTTAAAACGTACCGGTAATGGTTTAAATTTTATCAGGTACACAAAATTTATAAACCAAAACATCATATCTCACATAAAAGAATTTTAGATACCAATTTGATCATCTCCCCTTTTGTGGACATGTGTCATGATTAAGATTTCATAGAATGGATAATCACCACAATTGATTACCCATATATCAAAGAAAGTAGATATTCATACCTTGAAAGTGTTTTAAATTTGATCAAACAAAATTCGAGGCTTATGAATGATTCCCTCCTTTCAGATTACCTACACTTATCAGAAAAAAGGGCTTTTAGACCATTTTCAATAACACTTCTCATCAACTTCAAGTTCCTACAAGCTATTACCTTTCATATAACTTATGGACCTTCAAGCATGCTTAACATACCACTAGGACACTTAGTAAACATATAACACAATGCCTAGGACTAAAGACAACATTTGCTAAAATCAAATTTACACATTCCAAACAGAAGCTAACAGGTTATATACATCAAAAGTTTAAGCCTTTTTCTCACACTTAGAGGCTGAACCAAACTTTCTTATAAAAATGAAAGTTGTACATATACCTCTTAGGATTTCATACCAACTGGATTCACATAATTTGGAGTTCTGGTCTATTACAAACAGAGTGCAATTTCGAGTGGCTGCAGACAGGATCTAGAAAATCGAAGATTTCAAGCCATGTATGATTCGAATTAGGTTTCTCAGTAAACTACAAAGTTGTAGATAACTCGAACACCTGCCTAACGATATAAAGAACGCATCAATCGGACAAACGGTTGATTTTATATGAATTTTCAAACTTACCCAAATGAATCTGCCTCCTCTAACAGCACCAACTTGAAGAAATTTCATCAATCTTCAATTTTTAACCTATGAATCATCAATCAACTTAGGGTTTAACCATTGCCCTAAAGAATAAGAAATCAGAAAAATAAACTATAGACATACCTTATCTTGAGTTCCTAATTCCAAGTATAACATCAATTCTTCAAAAAAACTCAAAGA